TCCCATGTGATATTTTTAATATGCTTAATTTATTTATAAGTACTTCTGGAGTCACCATCACAGCACATAGAGGGGAAAAAAAATAAAAATCTTCCAGTTATAAGATTTGGCTTGTTTGTCAAAACCAGGTATAATCCTAAATTGAACATTGAAAAGTAAGTAACCTCCAGAATTTGGACAGATTACACAAATCAGATGTCAATGACCCAGTAGCTGTCTAAAGTCTGCCTGTACTTAGCCTGCTTTGTATGCTATAGGCCTGCTTGGTGTTATGAGAAAATCATGCTATTTTTTTTACAATGTGAAATGACTGTTTTAAGTGTGTGTTTTTACTCCTCCCTTCCCAAGCCTTCCCTCTCCACATCCCCCTCAATCCCTCTTGTTACATCAGTCTTTAAAAGCCAAATTGCCTAACCAGTTTCTGTTCATCATTAACAAATCTTCATCTACTGCACTCCCACAGTAAAAGACCATGGCAGCTTAGCTGTTAAAAGCAATGAGAAAGTTTAGTATTTTTAATTGGGTTTGGTTTTTCATTTAACGCAGGTAAAAATGTTAGGGGGGGAGGGAAAATCATCTTTGGCTGCAGTTTATCTGGCATCAGTAGCATTTAAATATGAATTTATTGTTTGTTTTGGCTGTAGAGTTGTATGTACACGTGTGGTTGCGTGTGTGGGTATATACACACATATACATGCTCTTAAAAAATGTCAGGGAAAAATATTTTTAACGTGGAATATTTTTTCCCTTAGCCTTGCTCAGTGTTAACAGAGTTACTGTTGAAGGAAAGAATGAATTTTTAAATGTCTTTTCCCCCCATTGTTAACTTAAAACATCTTTTCATGAGGAAAAAAAAAAACAAAAAAGAAAGGAGGCTTCAATTGTTTAAAGGCATCTGTGCATAGTTCATTTTAAGCCCACACATAGTTTGGGTACAGTAGGAGGAAAACTCCTGCTTCACATTAACTACAGGCATCAGGAGTCTCTCCAAGGAGCCATACAGATGGCTGGAGGGCACCAGCAGCTTATTTGCCACCATGACCATAAATTTGGGGACTTAATTTAGAAACATGTGGGTTTGGAGCAGAGCCCCAAATGTGGTTTTTGTTTCGTTTGCTAGTTGGTTTTTTTTTGTCTCTGTGAACATCAGGAGGAAGAGGAGCAGGGATTGTGTTGTGCACGTAGAGTGGAGTTAGCAGGAGGAGAGGCAGAGGGTCTGTGCTGTCAGTTTGTTAGAACATGTTTATTTTCAGGCTGAAAGTTGTATCTTGGGCAGATAAAAATTTAAGTGTTTTTGGTAAAAATGCTGAGAAGAGACTGCTCAGTTGTCTTTCCATAGGGTGACACCATGTATTTGAAAGAGGTCAGAATAACTGCCAGGTGTGTTACTGTGTGTTTTCTGTAGCCCCTTTCATCCTGGCTTTTCAGTCTACCTTGGACATACAGGAGCTGCTGGGCACCCTTGTCCCTTCCCACATCAGAATCTTGAAGCACCAAGGGACCCTGGCACAGCCCTTGCACAGCTGGGGCAGCTGAGCCAAGGACATTGTTTGGGACAGGTCACGGAGGGAATTTCCTACAAACTTCCCCCTTTTTTTTAAACCCTGTTTTCCTCCCCAGCTGCTCGATGAGCTACTCTCAGCTCAGCCAACTCTAGGTTTGCCAGGAGGGGCTGTCCAGGTTGATCTTATTTTTTTTTTTCCCCAATCATTTCCTGGTTTAGCTGAGAATTGCTGGATTCCAGAGCCAAATGGGATGGCTGGGGGGAGTCTCCATCACCCCATGGCGTGTCATTGAACTCAGGCACAGTTTTGCTGCTCTTCGTTTCCATGTCTCAGATTAGTTGAGTTCATCTGGATTTGTTTTCATTTTGGCAAAATGTGGTAGAAAAACAGCAGTTGTGCCCCTTTTCCTGGTGGGGGAAGGAATCTGATCCTAATTTGCTGTGGATTTTTATTTTTTTTGCATGCTGTTTTTATGCAAGGAGTGAGCAGGGCTGTGGATGTCTTGATATTTACTGCAGGACTGTAGGTTTAGTAGCATTTTTAGATCACAAGGAACAAGTCTGAGCAATTGAAATGGGGAAGGGATTTTTTGTGCAGTTAAATATTAGTATTCTGTGACTATCCAATGTATGGGAGAGAGATAAGCTCTCTTTTGTTAAAAAAACCCAAAAAACTAAATAGCTGGCCATTACTTAGCTGATAAAATGCTAGGATGAGAACACTTGTTTTCTGATATTCCTGTTATTTCTAACGTCATGGAAAAAAAAATCATCCAAAGCAGAAAAATAACACTTGTGTTATTGTATTATTTTTTTTATGAACGACCAAATGTTGAGGACATTTTTATCTATCCCAGAGGGCACACGTGAAAAGGGAAGGATTTTCATGTTCATCCCAGCTCATTTTGAAGGGATCTGGTTTCTCATTTGGCTGGATTTCGGAGGCAGGCATAGCAGGGAGCAGGCGAGTGGGCTCAGGTGGGGAGAGCCGGGGCTCCTGCTAGTGGTGGAAATTTTCCAGCAGCCTTGATGATCCTACTTAAGCCCTCAATTTCAAAAGAAATTAAATATCTTTTCCAGACCCACTTTTTGCAGTTAAATATATATAGAGATTTATATCTATTTTATAGGTATATGTGCTCATATATGTGTGTGTATATGTATGTGTGTGGTACTTGTGCATTTGTGCAGTGACTCTGGCTCACCAGCACTGACTGGATGAGATGCTGTTAAAATTAATTGCCTGTGAGCTGATAACAGACTCTTGGGAAGTACTGTAGGAAGGGAGAGGTTCCACTCTAAGAGCATCTGCCCTCAGAGTCCTTGCCCTTAGACATTAGGAGAAAATACTTCACTGTGAGGGTGGTGAGACACTGTTCCAGGTTCCCCAGAGAAGCTGTGGCTGCCCCATCCCTGGAAGTGTTGAAGGGCAGGTTGGATGGGGCTTGGAGCAATTTGGGCTGCTGGGAGGTGTCCCTGCCCATGCTAGGGGGGTTGGATCAAAAAGATTTTGAAGGTCCCTTCCAACCCAAACCATTCTGATTCTATGGAAGTACTTGCTGTATATAGACTGTAAAAGCAAAGCCCAGCCCAGGTAGGCAGCAAGGCAGATTTTTTTTTGCCAGAATTAGTTTTTGGCTGTGGGCAGCTCTTCTGAGCTGAGCTGGGCTTCCCTAGCCCGAGCTGTAGAGAGGGAGATGAAAGGCATTGAGAGTTTTGAGGCAGAGTGTTTACCCACTCCTCCTTGTCTCCAACACTACCTACACTTTTCCCCCTTACACATTCCAAATCCATTGCTTTCAAATTATTCCCCTCCCCCTCTTTGCATTTTTGCCTCCTACCCTTTCTCCTCTCTGTGTCCTCCTTGCCTCCCACCATGGCGCAGGCTGATCTCTGGTATTCCCCTTCCAGGCTGATCTCTGATTCTGGTTTCAGTAATGGATTTTGTTATGGAGGAGGAGGTGGTGGGTGGGAGGGGAATCCCAGAGCTCCAAGGTTGGGATTTTCAAAGGATTTAAGCTTTTAATTCCTTCTGAAAGCTGCAGGGAAGGGGTGCATGGCATCCTTTTCAAATCTCTGCCAACACCCTGCTCTTCCCTCCTGTGCCTCGAAGGGGTCCTTTTTGCTCTACCCTGCATTGCTGTGTCCTTCAAGGGTGGTGGTAGGCAGGGTGACACGGGCTGTATGTGGCTGCAAAGACACACGTGTGTCCATGGCCAATATCTTCTGGCTCAGGTCTTGGGTGGCTCAGTGCTACTTAGGTGAGCACAGAGCAGCAGGAGAGTTAATTCTTTGGGGTGGAAATGTGGCTGATGCACAGCTCCATCAAATTGGTAATGGGCTCCCTCTTTTCTGCGTGCTAGATTCTAGCTCAGAAGAAGAAGAAGAGGAGGATGAAGAGGAAGAGGAGGAAGCAGAGGGCTATGGGACGGATGGGACTGACAGGCTGTCGTCGCCTGCCCTGGATGAGAGTGGCCTGGGCCTTCTAGCAAGGTTTGCTGCCAGTGCAATGCCCAGCCCCATCGTTCCCCCTCCACTGTCCATCATCCAGCTGGAGGCCAAGCAGAAGGCAAAGAAGAAGGAGGAACGGCAGAGCCTGATGGGTGAGTTGCATGGTTAGGGTTGGTGCCATGGGGGCAAGGTGGAAGGACGTCCAAGCTGTGCTGCAAGAGAGCAGGTTGTTACTCAGACACTGTCTTGCTCTTTGCTTGCCTTTGGCTGCTGGGTCCTGATGCTGAAGGTGAGGGGAATCACCTGGCAAGAAAACAGGACCCAGTCATGGCTGTGGCAGGTTTAGCAGCTGCAGCCATGCTTTTCCCAGGCGTAACTGACTGTGGCTTTCTCAAAATTTCCTCTTTTCTTTCCTGGCAAATCCTTAATTCACCCTTCAAAGGCAAACAAACAGTGGGATCTTGTGTTCCCTTGGACAGAGTGCTGAAGGCAGTGAAGTGCTGTTACATTTTAGGGAAGGAAGCAGGTTCTAAATGCAGCTGATCTTAGATATCCAAGAGAAACAGAGACACCCAAGCAGAAGAAAAACACCTTAAATCAGCTCATCCCATCCAAGTTTCCTCATAGGAACTGACCAGCAAGACTTGAAACAAGCATTCCTTCCTCTGCTCATGTGCTTGCAGTGCCAGACCCTGTGTTTCTGTCCCAATCTCTGTCTCAGTTTGCGTGTTACACATAATTGGAGTTTAATTTCTTCCCCTCCCCATGTCCTGCTGCACAAGTGCCCATTGATGACATCGTTCTCAGTCAGACAGATCTATATGGGCTCCATTTATAAATTCTCCATTAATATTTATTAAGTGATAATGGAATTTATAGCATACTTCAGAATGGAAAATGATGTCTTCTTTGGGATCCCAGCTTGTTTTAGCACTGTTTCCATCCTGTATTAGGCTTTAGCCAACTTGTTCTAACAGCCTCTGTTAAGAATTTATTGTCTTGTAACTTGCCCTCCTTCAAGCTGGAAGCATCTAGAAATTGCCTCATGTGGCAGGGAGGAGAAGGAGTGTTATAATTTCCAGTGGGTTTTTCATTTTGATCCTTGCCAGCTTTGATTTTGACAGGCAGGCTCTTTTCCTGCTCATGCTGGGGCTGTCTCAGGGGAAGAGGGTTGAGTGGAAGATGAGAAGCAGGTTCCTGCAGACTGAATTCACCCAGGAAAGTGAGCATGTTTGAGAGAGAGAGAGACTGAGAGAAGAAGCTCTCCATAGTTGTGTGTTTACCCATGAGAATGTTGTCTGGTCCTGTATGACCTTCCTCAAGGGTCTTCTGCAAGCAGTGGTTATCACAGCAGGGGGTGTTCACTGTTGGGCTTGAGATGAGATTCTGCCAAGTGAGGCCTGATTTCAGACCGTGTTGGTCTGAAGGCAGAGTCATGGAGATGTGTGTGCAGAGAGGGAAGAGCCACAGCAGGCTGGGGGAGGATAAAAGAGAGACTTTTGGCTGATGTTCTTTTTTTGAGAAGAAAAACTGGGTTCTGCTGAGGTGCTGTGTCATCCCATGAGGTCCAGTGTCCTGGGAAAGAAGTGGATTTAAAAAATCTAGGCTCAGTCTCTTGTTCAGCATAGACTTCACACCTGTGCAGCCACTGTGCTCTGCCTACCTCTGGCCTGTGTTGCTGGGTGTGTAGGTCCTGCCTCAGTTTCCCTTCTGCTTCTGGAAACGTATGATCTTGCTCTCCTTCTTCAGATTCTGGGGAGAGAAACACACTGAAAATGGTGAACATCATGGTATGACTGCAATATTTCAGGCCTCTGGGAACTGCTGTACCCGTGGTGCTGAGCAGAGGCAAATGTGAGGGGATTTCCATTTGCAACAGACAAAAGAGCATTTATCTCTCTTGATTTTAAGGCTGTTACTTGAGCCAATAAAAATATCTGTGGTGTCTGTTGGCCAATGGGAAAAAATAAGCTTGAAATATAGGTTTATTTAATTTGTTAAAGAAATCATTCTCCTGAAACAAAGGTGAGGCTGGAGAGAACTCCCACCAGGAGGGGAGGAAGGCTCAGCTTGTGCTTTACTTTATCCAAGCAACTTCTTTTTGTGGAGGGGTGAATGTTGAGAGTATCTTTTCAGGACTTCCCTGCAGCATTTTGGTTTGGGAGAAGAGAGAAGATGGAGGCAGGGAACACATGGAATGGGTGGGCTCTGTTTTGGGGCAGGGGAGTCTTATTTCCAGGGGAGCCAGCGGTTGAAATGCAAATCAGAGGGATGTGGGGATTGGAAAGAGGAGCAAGCCAAGGCTCTGTTGAACAGGCATGGCATGTCCTATGGAGCCCAAAGGCTTCCAGCAGGACATGACCCCTCTTGGCTTAGCCAGGGCTTTGACTGATGGTTAATCCTTTGCATCTAGGGACAGAGTTTGAATACACAGACTCGGAGAGTGAAATCAAGATCAGGAAGAAGTCACCCTCGGGGCTGCTGCGGGGAAAGAAGGGGCTGCTGGAGGGAAGCAGCATCCCACCAAGCCAGGCACCCAGCAGCCTGGACTCCGGATCTGGGAGTGCTGACAAGGCCAAGCTTGGGTCTGAGAAAGGCCGCAAGCTGAAGAAATTCAAGTCCCCCAAGGACCTGAGCTTTGAGTTTGGGCTGGAGGCCAGTGATGACGACCTGTGGAACCGGCGCCGGAGCGAGCGGATCTTCCTCCATGATGCCACCATGTCCTCGGCCATGCTGAGCCCCACGACACCTGCCAGCTCCACTCCTGTCTCCAAGCCTGGCCGCTGTGGCAAGGGGGCACCCATGAGCCCCAAAAAGGAGGGCAGCAAGGGGAAGGAGAGGAAGGAACTAAGCAAGGTGAGGAATGTGCTGGCAGAATTGGTGTCCGACCCTTGGGAGCTGAAGGTGAGGGGGGGAGATTAACTCTGCTGAGGGAGAGGACAGTTGAGTTCTGTCTCAGCAGAAGACTGGGGACAGTCTTGGCTGAAAGCTCAGATCCCTCGGGCTCCTTTTCAGTTCATGGCAGTGTTACGGTGGAGCACTGATGGTGGGAAGAGTGAGACAAGTTAGTTGTGACATGAGGCCAGCTGGGAAATTCTTGGGGCTCTCTGGAGAAAGGTTTGATGAGCAGGAATTGCTCTACAGGGTAGTGAAAAGCTCTTCCCCAAAGTGTGAGGCCTGAAAGCAGAGCTGGGAGGTGTAGAATGTGGTGCAGTCGATGAACTAACTGCTGGCTGAATGTCATCCTACCTGTGCACAGCCTACTTTGCTCCACCTTTCCTCTCTTCCTGGGCCCAGGTCTTTACCAACTTTGTCTTTATTGATGGGAGTGCTTTCTTTTTATTTTTAGCAGCGGAAGAAGGGTAAAGAAACACCCTGCTGCTCCTCCTCCTCATCCATGTCTCCTCCTGGCATCCCAAGCTCCCCATCTGATGTTCGTGTCAGCCTAGCAAATGCCATGGGCTCCACCAAGAAGAGCAAAGCCAAAGTGAAAGCCAAGGAAGTGAAAAAAGAGGTGAGGGTTCTGGGTGAACTGGAGGGTGGCTGAAAAAGTCTTG